CTGTGACACGACCTATTGAACATCCTTCAGACTGCATGAATGCTCGTGCTTTCTGACATGGTAGTAGTTCATGGGACAGTAGGAGCAGGTCACACTTGTGTGTAGTTACTGAAGACACTCAGAGTACCATCCTGATGTTAAAACTGACTACTTCTCTCTAGGGACTTCCTTCTCCCTGATATTCAATCCACAGGCCAAGAAGTGAAAGTCCTATTCACACTGAGAAATCCTTTAGATTGAAACTTCTCCAGGTCCTAAGGCCATAAAGACTGGCTGGGCTATATTCTCTAATAAATTATTTAACAAAAGGGAAATGCCTTCCCATCTCTACGAATAGCCACTATACTAAAAAGGGGGTGTGAGTATTTAGAAAATTAGAGAATGGTCAGGGAAAGAGTCACACAAAAGTCAATGGGTGGAAAATGCCACCTGGTGATGAAGATGCTGAACACACGCTATAAGGCCCCCGGTGCTAATACCTCAGATAATCAGGAAGACAGGTCAGGGGTCATCCTGAGGTGATCTGAAGGGCAGAGCGGAGGTATAGCCCTCTCCTTACAGACTGTCACCTGAACAAAGATCCTCACCCTGCACAGGTCCGAGTCCTCCTCTGGTGACCTTTACAGAGATCGCTGTGGCCTGTGATTGGCTGACATCTCTGAGGAAGGAGCCCACTCTCATTTAGGCACCTCCTCTGTTCTCCACAGAGCCCGTGGGGAAACCCTCCATCCGAGCCAGCAATGCCACAGTCACAGAGCATAAGGACGCCGTGGTCCTGACCTGCCTCACAAATGACAAGGGGATCTCCATCTGGTGGCTCTTCAAGAACCAGAGTCTCCTGCTCACGGACAGGATGAAGCTGTCCCAGGGCAACAGCACCCTCACCATAGACCCCGTCAGGAGGGAGGACGCTGGGGATTATCAGTGTGAGGTCTTCAACCCCGTCAGTTGCAGCAAAAGTGAGCCCCTCAGGTTGGATGTGCAATGTAAGTGACTCTCCACCTCTCTCACTTGCTCTTTGTATATTTCACGGGCAGGGGGTGATATGGATGAAAGCCTTGAGGAGGTGGGAGCCTCCTTCAGAGCCTATAGAGCACATGGGTACGGACCCCAGTATTAGACTAATCTCATCATTGTCTCGGTTCTATGAGAATAAGCTGTCTGACCACAGGGAAGGCTCTCACCCACCTGAGCCTCAGTTTCCTCATCTCTAAACTGGAATAAAACAGCTGGACCTAAACACCATGTTAGGATAATTCTTGTGACGTTAATGAGTTAAATCCCTCAGACAGGGTCATGCTCAGTCAGGA